GAAATGATAGACTAGAGTGGCCTTAAATGAACGTGTATATTTTCTGGGTATGCCAAGAATTCGTAAGTTTTAACGAACTTTTGCAAGCTACTTGGGGGGGGGGGGGGCTGGCGACCAGATTTTGTAGACACATAAATAATCGAGGAAGTACGTCGGAATTTGGTTAAAGTTTCATTCATGAATTCCGATTAAGAAAGTCACCGAATTGTGATCATTTTCATGCAGGAAATGGTCTCTTACCATCACGCCGATCGTATAATTCTAGCGCCCTCAAACTTGAACTTATGAACTTACCTTCCGACACTACTGTTATATTGTAGGTCTCGGGGCTATCCGATTATCTGGCTGAAAAATTCGCTGTCTTCGCCAATATACCACCATGGACACTCGTTCTGGTATGTACGGTACTTATCGCGGTGCTAACAGAATTCATCAGTAACACGGCGACGGCCGCAGTCTTCCTACCGATCATAGCGAAAATGGTAAGATCAGATTACGCCCTCGCGGTGTTCACTAATATTTACTTCGTTTACAAGATGACCCGGTCTGCATCATGCCAATATTATTCAATACACCACACATATGAAATAATTTGTTTCTTTACTTTGCTGCACTGCGACTGTGTTGCTTGATATGAACTTTATTTCTTCGTCGTTTTTGAATAATGTTTGAACTTACTTTTTAAACTTGATGTTTTTACCCCAGGCTGAGAGTGTGGATATAAACCCTCACTATCTTATGATTCCTACTACTGTGGCAAGTTCATTTGCTTTTATGTTACCAATAGCAACACCACCAAATGCTATCGCATTCTCCTATGGGACTCTCAATGTGCTAGATATGGTAAGCTTTCAAAAGTACTTTAATTTCACTTTATTTTATTTTTGCTTTTTCGATGAAGAGATGAATCAGCGATAATATATTCCAGTCAGTAAAAACATTTCTCTTTCTTTATTTTACATTGACGCAGAAATCAGTGAAAATAAACTCCATACACAACATCCAAAATGTTGTTTTTTCAGTCAAAATAAATTCTTAGACTAACTGAAAGAAAGTGTTTTACAGTATATAGTTGATATACACAGAATTGTATATGATTCAATATCAATATTCATTGCGGACTGTGGCGAATTAAAGCAGGAGAGTCGTCACCTGCGCACGCGCGGAAATTGAGTCCCAAGCGACGATAACAACACACTCTAAAAATGCAAAGGCTCATGGGTAGACGCTTGTTTGTAAACAATGACACGCTATGGCCATCTGACGCATGCGCAGGTGACGACTCACCCGCTCTAAAATAGTTATGGGCTTGTCTAGTTCACTATCATCCCTCTTGTGTATGAATTATTTACGAAATATATAAAATTCATAATTTGGAAAAGGTGGACGAATTAAATATATTCACTACAGTTAAAGCGTTACAGACCCTGCCTCGCGTCGTGTTTGATATGGGACCCATAGCAACGTATACAACGTGTGTAACATACATTGTTTGCACGAAATTCGAAAACGCGCTGTAACCATTTCAATGTCAAAGTCTACTTTTGTCACCGTTCGCCGTGTTCACCTGTAACAATCGGAAAATTACGTCTAATAGTACTAGTATCTGGTTGAACATTAAAAGAACAAATACACAAAAATGAGTAAAATGTTTCACCGAATTTGTATGTAACACATTCCTATTTCCAACTCCTCAGATTTTATGGAAACATTATTTATGTATTTGTTTTACCATCTTTAGGCGAAATCCGGTTTCCTTATGAACTTAGCCAGCATCGTGATAG